CCCCCCCCCGGTTACCCATATTAGAGGATGAAGTAAGCATATTATCAGAAATAACCAGGATTAATAGATTAAGTATAAATTGAGGATATTATAAAAAAAGAAAAGATTTTTAATTATTAACTACTTTAATTAGTTAAGTATAAAGTAAAGATGATACAAGAAACAAAGAGTTTTACTTATTAAGTACTCTAATTAGATCAAAGTCTAAAGTAAAGATATTATTAGGAACAAGGAGTATAAGCTATCAACCGCTCTAGTTGGATCAAAGTATCAAGGAACAAGGAGGGTCAATTATCAACCGCTCTAATTATATCAAGTAATAAAGTAAAGATATTACAAGGAACAAGGAGGATCAATTATCAACCGCCTGATTCGATTAAAGCACAAAGTAAAGAGTTATAAGGAATAAAGTGAATAATTTTTGAGCTATTCTAATTAGAAGTCATAAAGTAAAGATATTATAAGGAACAACAAGAATTAATTACAAACTAACTTAATTAATTACTAATGGCTCTAATTACATTAAAGATAAGTACAAATATAATAAGAAATAAAGAGGATTAATTATTAATCGACCTAATTAACTTGAAGCATGAAGTAAGGACATTACGAGGCACAAGGGGGATCAATTATTAGTCGACGTAACTAGATTAAAGCATAAAGTAAGGAAATTACGAGGCACAAGGAGGATCAATTGCCTACCAGCTGACGGCGGATTAGTGGGCAGTGTGGTGGCATTGCTACGACTTATCTGGGGTTTAAAATGACCGGCCTCGTCCGCCCGAAGCCGCAGGCAGTTTGCTCTCTATCTTCACTTTATCCTCACTTATTCCATACCATCCTACAATGCTGATCGAAAGGTTCATCCCCTCTCTGCGGTTTAGAAGGCGAAGAGGGTCAGAGGCATCAGTCTCGTCCGTCTCTCGCCTGGAACAGGTCATCGACGGCAGCGACATTGACCCTGCGAAGCTGGCCCGTACTGTGAAAGCGAAATTTCGACAGGGTGAATATACCGTCACTGTAAGTACAGTACCCGCCTCCGAAAATGTGGCATTGATGGCATGCGGGTGGCACCTACTGAACTCCAAGCTAGTTGAGACAAGACCAGTACATCCTCGTCATCCCAAAACGATTATCGTCCGTAAGTACAATCTGGAAGGCAAAGCTTCTCGAAATGTTTGCTAAGTTTAATCAAAAATTAGAAGGAAATCGATGCCTGCCGCTACACATGGGAATAAGGCTGAGGGATCCCGCGCCAGGGCCAGGGAAGAATCACATCAGTGAGCAGCAAGGGTCACAATTATCCTGGATATGAATCGTATGCAAGTCGGATGCAGAGACGGAGGCGCTAAAGGGTTTGGGTTAGCGTATGTGCACTTTGCGTCGGACGTGGCTTGGTGGCTTGGGAGCTGAACAACCATCGTATATGCATGTCTCAATTCATAAGCCGGAGCAACCTCTAAGGAGAGTAAAGATTGGCAGTTTGTCTTTTTTTAATTTGCCCCTCGGGTGATTTACCACACCCCCGGTTCCCAAGTTAGCTGTGACTGTTCTCGCCCGTAGATCCCTTAGCTCCGATGTTATTGCATCCATCCTCATCAAAGAGACCACATACACCGAGGTGGGTTTTCCAGTAACACTGTAGTTCCCAACATGGCATAACCGCCGCAGCAGAGCATTTGGGCTGGCTGGCTACCTAAAGTCCTGAGAACTATAAGGCTCGAATATGGAGGCTGCGCTACATATATGATTAACAATTCCTTAGCCGAGCAGGACTCCTTTTGAATTACTGCATTCGGTTAGCGTTACATCTTTCTTCTGTCCATCGCCATCTACAGCTCTTTCGAGCAAGGAAACAGATTCTCGCCCACTATGAATAAACCCAGTATGAGTAAATTAACAAATCTTCTGCTGCAGGCACAGCAGCCTAGCGAATTCGGCAGAGATCAGAATTTTATTCCTAAAGGAAGCCTCGACCACTTGATTGACAGAAAAATGGTCGGGCTTTTTGTAGGAGAAAAAGAAGAAGAAGAGGACCTGAGAGATTTCGTGCTCGAAAAGGCGACCATATTGTTCGCACTTATAGCGCTCTCTGGGATAAAAAAATACGAAATGCCTGAAGTAATGAAGGTTTTCAAGGATGCCAAGATCACAGACAGCCATCTGCCACTCGATAAGGAGTCGTTGAACCGCATTGTAATCGACGATGACAGCTCCGATGATGAAGGGGGCTGGAGTGAGGCGAACTCGTTCAATTTTCTAAACACTCAGCCTAAATTCTTTGCCCCAGTGTTTGACCTCAGCCGGCACAATCATGACTTCCCCTCCAGTGCAATTCTTCCATTCATTAAAGAAGCCAAGGCTCTCGGACAAGGGACATTCGGAGAAGTATATAAATACGGCATCCATCCCGCACATATGATAAAGGGTACAGATGAGAAGCACCCGGAATATCAGGTGCGTATATGCTGCGTCAATACTATTTTGACAATTGACCAATTCATTTTTCCCGTTAGGAATTTAAGTGTCCTGAATTTGTCGCTGTTAAAAAGATTCGACCTGGAGACGGCGAAGAACGGGCACAAATGGTGGCAAGTTGGGAAAAAGAAGGAGCTGTTCTCCGCGACATGAACAAACTCAAACAAATACATATTGTCCCGATTCTCACAGCATTCCGACATGGCCATCAAGGTAACGAAGACCATTATTTGATGTTTGAGTGGGCAAGCGGAGGCAATCTGCGGCAACTGTGGAGTGATCTGAAGCGGGAGCGTTTATCTTCAGGAATCGTCAAAGCGGCCCTTAAGCAGCTCCTTGGTCTATCTGAAGCCATATACAATGCTCACGAGCCCTCTATGGCTGCCGAAGCCTCTGAAAGAAGCAACTTGTTCGCCAAAGATGGATTAAGGGGTGACTTCTTTCGTCACGGAGACCTGAAGCCCGAAAACATCCTCTGGTTTAAAGACGAGGAACACGATAACGAAACTGGCTTTAATATGGGGACATTGAAGATTGGAGACTGGGGTCTTGCTAAACGACAGAATATTCCCACTCAGCTCAGGATCCATAGAACAACCACCAAATTTGGAACATGTCGATATGAGCCCCCTGAAGAGACAACTGGCCACATTGTCAATCTTAGGGATGATATCAAACGCCGTTCTCGGCTCTACGACATTTGGGGGATGGGTTGTATCTTTTTGGAGTTCTTGATCTGGCTTTTATATGGCACAGAGGGCCTCAAAAAGTTCGACCATTCCATGATAACGAAGCAAAACCCTTGCCCGCCGTTTTATGAAATAGAAGAGGGAGATGGAAAGCCACATGGCGTGGTTCACCCTTCTGTGATTAAATGGATGAACCATATCGCCAATGACCCAGCATGTAATGGAGATGGGACGGCGCTAGGGGATCTTCTGAACGTGATTCGAGAAGACCTTCTGGTAGTTGACTTGCCTGAGAAGCTAGGCTCGCACATGTCCGAAACAGAACAAGCTGCCTTAAGTTCATGGGCCCAGACAACAACGGACGAGGACGACTTACAGGCGGCAGACTCAAATGATGTTCCTCAAATCACCGTTAATGAAAGTCAACCAACAAATTCTCAAGACGATCAAAAGCCAACGACCAACATAATCATGCGACGAAAGAAGCCTCGTGCACGTGCGAAACAGTTCTATCTTCGGATGGAGGGGATAGTAGAGTTCGACGACAACAGAGAAGAATATTGGCTTCCGGCCGAGCCTGGCCCCCCTTTAGGCCTTCAGGTATGTTCTCGTGACAAAGGGAAGGAATTACTAAATATCCCGCTAGAGGGAAGTACCGTCCTTGACACGGTGACAAGAAATGATTCAGAATTACTTGGGGTAACCAGCCTCAAGGGCGTGGTCACAATTAGAGTGAGTATCTGAGCTGATCCCTACGGCGACCCTTGTTCTGTGGTGACTGTATAATAACAACCTGTGCAAGGACGTATGACAAAATCCCTTCAAAATCTTCCTTTTCGCATGCTGATCATCGCTTTGATGTGCTCTGGCTCTAGAATGTAGGTTGACACTTGTAGTTCCTTGGGTCCAACTGTGATCTAATCGTGTATAGTACGTGAGTTCAATTCGGAAGATTGCTCAAGCGATGAAGTCAAATTCTAATCACAGTTACTGAACTTCTTTGTTCACATAGGGTGTGAGCACATTCTACGTCTTAGCTGCCCGCTTTGCTTATTTACTGACCTATGACAGACTGTCAGTAAAGCAGCTTCCCATATCTAATATCCGTCTTTCTTGGTATATTATTCCGGTTCTTACTTTTTCTTCTGCCGTCAGACGGTAGGTACATTTCCATTCGATGACAAGCCCCAGATCTAATCGCTGATATCATCCAGAATGTGCGTTCATAAATGAAACCTGATACTTCGCTGGCGTTTTCTCACTAGCATTACCACCACAGCTTAGTGGCGACTGGAAAACTATTGTCGATAACCATTTCGCACGCCTAGTTCTATGAAGCGACTCTCTACGACAATCTGCAATCATTGCCAAATGTTCCAAAATGAGATCTGGGAACCTCATTTCGATGCCACATACAATATGGAACAGTTGAGGGAAAATTCCGTATCTGGAATCTGTGAAATGTGCCAATTTCTCGCGAGAGTTTGCCAAAGACGGAGAAAAATACAATATCCCAGTGTCTCGTTCCACCGAGCCGAGTCATCAATCTTCATGGATCGTGGGGTGTCGCCGGTGATCTCCATTCATCGGAGCAAAGGTATAATAGTCCTTTTACTCCTTAGGATCGAAGCCTGTCTTCCGCGAGCTAATAGTATGATCCGTTAGATTTAGTAACAAGGATTGATAGTGATGTTCAGGTTGGATTCGCTCGTCTGCCACAACCTGGCAGCGACGCCAGCTTTGAGATCATCAGACAATGGCTGCAATCCTGCGATAGCATCATGGGGGCACATGCCCTCCAGCCCTTAGACAAAACAGCGAGATGCCCACGCGAGTGATTGATGTCGGGACCGAAAGGGACCATTCGGTTCGTCTGATCGAAACCCGAGGGGCCCAAGGGAAATGGATTGCTCTCTCCCATCAGTGGGGGACATCTGATAACTTCTGCACAACACCTGAGAATAAGGTGAAGCATATGGATGGGATTGAAGATGAAACTCTCCCTGCTACATTCAGAGACGCCGTCAAAATAACGCGGGCTCTGAGACATCGGCACTTATGGATTGACTCAGTTTGCATCATTCAAGGACGCAAAGGAGACTTCGCCTCCGAGGCAAAACGCATGGAGCAAGTTTATAGCGGCGCATACTGCGTACTTGCTACCAGCCGATCGCCAGGGCATGACGCAGGGATTCTACAAGATCGTGAAGAAAGAGACGTGATGGCTTTGCAGGGTCAAGGTCAATCTGGTCCATTTTACTTGTCCCAAAACATTGACGACTTTGACGATCACGTCTTGAAAGGTGCACTTAACCAACGAGGCTGGGTGCTTCAGGAGCACGCGCTGGCTCGACGAACTGTTTACTTCACGGATCATCAAATGTACTTTGAATGTGGCCAGGGTGTAAGGTGCGAGACTATGTCTAGAATGACCAAGTAAGTCGAGTTCAGTTCAGAGTCTATTACTTCACCCTGCTAACACCAGTGGCTCATCAACAGTGAGACTGCTTCCTTTCTTGGTGATGCCGACTTTCCCCAAATCATCATGTCGGCAGACAGAGGCGAGAGAATTCTTCTGTACCAGGACCTCTACACCAAGTATTCTCGCCTAGGATTAAGTCGCCCCACTGATAGAGCTGTGGCTATTGGGGGATTAGAAGAACGGATCCTAGCAAAACTCAATGTTTCTGGTGGCTGGGGCGTTCTCGACGATTCATTGAACACCGAGGGACAAAATGGACTCCTTCGACGAAGCTTGCTTTGGCGCAGGGGCGAGGAAGTGGAGGAGCTGTCTTCCATCCCATTTGCAAAGAAGGCCGGCTATCCCGGTGTGCCAACATGGTCATGGATGGCATACGAAGGGGGAATCGACTACATTGAACCAGACTTTGGAGCTACACACTGGGAAGAGTTGCTATCACCATGGTCGTCAGAGGGACCAACTCCAAGCCGCCAGGGCCATGGTGCTCATCCTCCCGCGTTGGTGGCGAAGGTGTGGGATTACACTGCGGAGCATATTGATGGCAGTCAAGGATACTTCATCGTACTTGACTCCCCCGAAAAATCGAAACAACTTGCTACAAAATGTGTCATATTAGGACAACCTAGGAGCAGGAGAGTGAAGCAAAAACGGTACGTTTTAATAATCACAGGTACCACCGAGAAGGATGAAAATGGAAAAGCAGCTTTTCATCGAGCTGGGGCCGGAGTTATACCCGCTGAGTGTATTACAGGAGGCGGAGATGATGCTACTATATGGTGATGCGAATAGAGGCCGCGTTGGTAGTTCTCTAAATACAGGCTGACTGACTTTGCCATGGTTTGTTATGCATGACCTTGTACTAGTAACGCTCGCTTAAATGTATAATGTATATAAATTGATAGATATTAAATCAAGATAATCTATAACGTGAAGAAACATATAAGCGTGCCGCGATTCACTGCCTTCCAAGCCTGTCACGAAACTAGACACTTAAACTCACTTATGAGCGTAGTCATGCCGACCTTCCTACGTACTATATACTATGAACACTCCTTGACGGGGGATATCACTACCCACGGCAGATAATGGTCGAATCCAAAAGCAGAAGCTTATGTAAACCACAGGGATACTCGTGGCCCCTCCACAGGCTGATCCTATTTAGAAATTTAGTTCATCTTTTTCTCTCCAACCATCCAAGCTGAAAATGAAAGCCTGGACATAGTTTTGGCTCAATCCCAAGATAGCAGAAGTTCAAAGCAGCCCAAGATGTCTTCTTTTGGCTGCCAAGTGTGCGGAGCAGACATGGCTACTGCCCGAATTCGCATTTCAGGCGAGCCGCCAAGCGCAGCCTGGACGTGGGAAGGGGCCGATTATGTAGGTTTCTCTGCCTTCACGGATTTTTACGGACTTGTCGTCGCAGACCAAGAATGCCAGCAATGCACTTTCGAAGATCGGACTCTGCCCGAATTTCAGACTACAGCGGAAACTACTGTGTGGCCAGATCACGAAGATGACGCTGAATGGCTGCCCGATTGTCACTCTGATAGTGATAGCGAACCCCTTGAATACAACTCAGATTCAGGAGCGGGAGATTTTGACTGCCGGTCATCAAGCGAAAGAGATTTCTACGATGACCCTCGCAACAGCGACAACGATAGCAGTGAGCAAGATGGAAAAAACCACGAAGGTATAGACACACAGTATCCTCTCTCCGAGCTAGCTGATCCCAAGCCACCCGAACGGCTCCCTCATGGATCGTGGCACGACGGGAGTATCTACTACGGGGGCGATTGCCACCGTCCAAACAGACGGTATTTCGGCTCTGCTTTCTGGAGGCTCAAAGCTCCCCCTGAACACATTGCGGCGTCCTCCTGCCAAAATGTCCAAGGCATCAACGGGCATGCCCTGAGTCTGACACAAATGAAGAACTGCCGAAATATCCGCTTTTTGATACCGAAGCCATCCAACTGGACGCTAGAAGCCAGTGACCAGCTTCTCGAGGAGAGTAGCCTCTTCTATCTCTCTGGAGAGACAAACGGCTCGAATGCATCTGCGGGCGGGATGTTCCGTGCTTGGCGGCCCTTTTATCCAGTGCGGCACGGCCTGCAAGAACTGCGTATGGACTGGCTAAACGTTGGAGAAGGCTGTAACGTAAGTACCCCTGATCATGTTCTGCAACTAAAATCCTTTCTTACGAAAGACAGGCATACGAAGGATTATTTCCCCTCCCAGTTCACTCTTATTGCCTTGATATCTATGCTAAACTGTCCTACCGCCGGCTGGGACGGGTCGACCTGGACGGACTTTGGCATTGGCGTGAGATACAGAGTGATCCGGACTCGTACGGGATGGCGAAGGGAGTTCAGATACGGCGAGCAGAAGTCGAACGAGCCCGCGAGAGCTGGGATCAGCCATGGCGCCACCTCGCTGGCGACGAGTGGCTCGCCGCAAATCCTGTTGAGGTCCCAGGCGTCTTCCGAGCTCTAGAGGCCTGCTTGAGCCCAGCGATTCCAGAAGATCGAGGTAGGCAGTCTGGTGCATACTTCTTGAGTCTTCCCACTGAACTCCTTGGCCTTGTTCTCTCTTTTCTTGATCCGAGAGATCTAGATACGGTGGCGTATACTTACCGCACGCTCTCTGAGTGCACGCAACCATTCTTCAGAGCATTTATCACCAAGGACATGCCTTGGTTCTGGGAACTTTTCGAAAGGAGTCAGTACCCGACATCACCTGATCGGCCATCAACGTGGGATCCCCTTTGCCCAACTGGCTTGGTCCCTCCTCCGCTCCCTGCGGGTCTTGAGAGCGAGGAAGCTGAAGACGCTATCTGGGCGCAAATCATCGCGGAGGATCCAGAGATGGAGAATGCTGCCAATGTTATCAAAGCCACCAGCCGCTTGCGTCGGGAAGAGATTCTCGGGCCATATCGTGCGAGCCAAGAAACGTCGCTTTACGAATGGCGAAGCTTCCGCGCTGGCGTAGAAGCGTGGATCCGTCGTCCACAGACAGGAATCAGCTCTGAAAAGGAGAACATGAACTGGAGGCACATCTGGCGGCTGTTTAATCCTACCACGACGCACTGTTCGGGAGTGCGAAATCGCGCCCGTATCTGGAGCGATTGCGAAAAAATACTCGATTATGTTGCCTTGGCGCATCGGACAGGTGGAATTGAGAGCAACGCTGAAGCTTTGAGTACGAAGCTTTCTGAACGATTGGGGTGGGATGAAAATGGTAGCGCACACCTATAGAACGACTACACTTGTCACAGGTTGTTCCACTAGATGATTAGCTACAAGGGCAAGGGAATAAGATATAACGTTGGATCACCCTTCAGAAATAAACTTGTTTTTTTCTAAACTCGATCACGGACCGTGTCGACGAGAGTAAATATAGAAGATCGCGGAGCCACGAAGATGGAGGCGCTTGCAAAATATAAGTTGGCCGTGATTTTCTTCTTGTCTCACCGTCTGGTCTCTGGCACTCCCGCTGAGCAATACCTGCAGATGCCAGATCTAAGAATGGCCGTGGACACCTCTTATTTTAAGAGGTTCATATATCCAACTTTATGACCTGGTCCAATTTCTCTGTGACTTTTCCTCCTCACCGCAGTTCATTAGGTATGGCCATATACTAAGATGACTCAAATTTAGACCTTTTTTCTTTTCTTTCTCATATCAGCCCTTTCAGGCCTCGCTTTTTCATCATTCGTAACTCTTACAATCTATAAGCCCAATGCCTCCTTGCGACCTGTACTATTCCGGTCGAGATAGGGAGCTTCGCCCAAGCTGCAGACTCGGTCTCCAGCCCTAGCAGCCTCGTAATCATAGGTTGCGCAGTGAAAAGTCGACCGGTTATCCCAAATTGCAATGTCTCCTTGATTCCATCGAAACCTCACTTGCGCATCATGGTTCTGCGTTACTAGGTTGAACAAATATGGCAGCAGCACATCGCTCTCGTCACGGGTCACTCCGTTGATGCGCTTGGTGAAGCCGCGATTGACGTAAACGCTTCGCCACCCGGTGACGGGGTTGGTCCGAATCAGCGGGTGGACGGTTACGAGGTTGTCGCCCTGGTTGAGGTGCGAGCCTCGCGGGGTCTTGCGCAGGGGGTTGCCTAGACGGGCAGCCTCATCGTGAAAGAAGGACGCATCGTGCGTTGCTGTGAGCCCGGAGAGAAATTCCTTCATCGGCTCTGAGAGGCGGTCGTAGATTTCGTAGCCAGAAGCCCAGAGCTACCGCCGTCAGTAATCGTCATTTTAAATGAGATATGAGGTTTAGACAGCAAGTGCCAACGTACCGTGTCGCCTCCAGTTTCTGGAAGAGTGTGGATTTTGAGCATCGCATAATCAGATGGAACCTTTTCAAAGGTGCTATTGATATTGTCAATCAACTAAACACCCTTCGGCTTATGGTCATTCATTTCCACTTACATGTCGCTGTGCCAGCCAGCGCTCGCGAATCGACTAACATCACTTAGCTGGTGAGTCAAGCCGCCTCCCTTCTTCTGCTTTGCACTCGAAATTACACTAATCTGGTCACCCAGCTCGCTCCCCTCCTCGGTGAGAGGATGGACATGCAGGCCTGACGACTCAGGGCACCCAGCCTGCTCTGTCAGCCGCAGCATGAAGTCTTTCATTTCAATGGGTGTCACATCGGCTTGTCCGCGTAGAAAGACCACTCCACGCTGCGAAATAATCAAAGCCAAATCTTGAATCTGCTCGTCCGAGGCCGTGAGGAGATCCTTGATGTGTAGCCCTGTGTACTCACGGCCAATGGCAGGGGTCACGTCGAAGTGGGAGAAGCGGTCCAGGGAGCCCGTGTAAGTGAGTGGCGCCGTCAGGCGGGGCCGGCTTTCCGGGTGGCCACCGAGGATGGTGGCGTCGACAGGGCCATCTACGGCTTGAATAATAGCTGGCATTGTTCTTGGTTGTGGTTTGTAGGCTTGGGTGAGTGAATTGGTTGTTGCAGACCGAGCCTTGGGTAGCAGTAGGAGGAGCTGGACCTCAGCAGATACCCTCTTTAAGCTAAACGATTTATCACGCCAGAGCCAGGAATAATGAGTTAAACACACTCAAAGGACGTTATGTATTCACAGGTTTGATAGGTGGTGGTCGAATTGTGCAAAGCGGTAGTTATACCCGTTGACGTGCCCCTTCATCTGGCGAATCACGCACGCGGCGGATGACGAGATCCGGACCCATTATGGCATTCACAAGCTGCCGGAGAAATTTTCGGAGAGGAAACCACTCAGACAGCCGCCTGGGCTCGCTCCCCGCATTGCTGGTACCACCAGCCTGGGCCTAGAAACGACACTATTTGTCCGGTAAATGCCTGGTCATGCTAGAATCCAATCTAGGCTACCCCGGCTGCTAAGTTCGTGCCTTCAGCGGTCATTAACGGTTGGTTGCCACCATCTTGATTGGATTCCGGCGTCGCTGGTTCTCGGTCCATCACCTTATTCTGTTAAATAGGCTGCCCAGGGGCAAGTCATGGCTGCGATGAGGTGATAGAGCAGGCTCCGAGAAAGTCGCCGTCCACTGAAGATTACCACAATTCCAGGTGAGAGTCATCTTTTGCTCGAACTGTCACCACGCGACCGACTGGGGTTGGCATGTAAGCTGGCACACTCCTTGGCTTCCTCGGCCTAGACAGATATAAAGAATACGCATGCGGCTCGTTTCCTTTTCTTTTTCTCACCACTGCGACTCATATATTGAATGACCGACTGTATCCCAATTGGCGATCTGATCCTGCCGCATCATGGGTAACAACGACATCGAGGCCCGCAGCTCGAGTGTGGCGGCGCACGACATCAACGACGGCAAGCCTCAGCCAGAGGTCGGCCGCGAGCACATCCATTCCACTGTGCCTCCCCATGATACTTATGAGGGACGCCATCGCTTCGACCCGAGCGCATCGTGGTCCCCAGAGGAGGAGCGCGAAGTAGTCAGAAAGACGGACTGGCGATTGCTATCTTGGCTGTGTGTCATGGTAAGAAAAATCGCACCCGAGGCAATGAAACACATACTGAACTTTCGCCATAGTTCTTTGGGTTGCAGCTTGATCGCGGCAATCTCAGTAATGCCCTTGCTGATAATCTACTGCCTGACCTCGGCCTCACGACAGATGACTACAACAACGTAAGTGAGGCCAGCTTGGATGATGGAGAGAAGTTTGTAATCATCGAGATATCATACTAACTTATCATGTTTGTAGGGAACAACAATCCAACTGCTGTGCTTCCTTGGCGCCGAGTTCCCTGTGCAATTTCTTACCAAGCGCTATGGTTTCAAGAACATTCTTCCCGGAGTATGAAATATCTCTCTTTTGCAGTTGATAAGAGGCTGGCTGACACAAAACTGGTTCAATAGTTGATGTGCGCATGGGGTCTTGTCTGTGAGTAGTTCATCTCCCTTCCTTTCGACTGACTCGCTAACAATTATCGTAGCAACATTCCAGGCATTCATGAAGGACAGGACTTCATTTTACATTACTAGAGCCTTCATTGGCCTTTTCGAGGGTGGATTCATTCCTGGCGCCATCCTCATGGCTACGTACTTTTACACTTCCCGAGAGCTCTCTATCCGTCTGGCTGCATTTTGGTCAACCCTCAACGTCGCCAGTATGTCACCCTTTCCGTAATAAATTTGCAGAATGTCTAATCTTTTGCCTTTAGGAGTTATTTCTGCTCTTCTCGCCGCTGGTTTACTCGAGATGCGCGGCGTTGGTGGCCACCCCGGTTGGTTCTGGCTTTTCCTCCTTGAGGGTCTCCTCACCCTCCTCCTCGGCATCGTCTCGTTCCTCTATCTCCCTACCTCGCCCACAGGGACCAAGTCTCCCCTTTGGCGCAAGTCTTGGTACACTCCACGCGAGGAAACCATCATGATCAACCGTATCTTGCGCGATGATCCGGCAAAGGGCCTCACAAACCTCTACGAGCCGGCCACCTTCCAGGACATCAAGGCGGCATGGGGGGACAAGTCCATGTGGGGACTGTATCTCATCGGATTAGTTGCCTACATACCCGCGACACCAGTCCAGGCTTACCTTACATTGACGTTGAAGCGTGTGGGCGGATTCAACACGCTCCAGTCGAACCTACTAACAGCCCCGTCTGCCGCGCTGCAGATCATCACCATGCTCGCTTTGGCCTACAGCTCAGAGTACTTCAATGAGCGGGCGTTCCACTGCCTGTTTGGTGCGTTTTGGTCACTTCCCATGCTCACGTCGCTCATCACACTGCCGGACGGGGGCCGAGAGTGGGAGAGATTCTCGCTCATTACCCTTATCTCCGGGTACCCTTACTTCCACCCGCTTGTGAGCTCGTGGATTTCGGAGAACACATTTGATGTTAAGAAGAGGGCAATCACTGCGGCTACGTACAACGTCATCGTTCAAATGTAAGTACTCGACCCCCTATCCTGGGTCAAGTCCACAACATAATACTAACTCTTTCCTCAGTGGGAGTGTTATTGGCAACCAGATTTATCGCAAATGGGACTCACCATACTACAAAACGGGTAATAAGGTGTGCGTGTCTATCCTGGCTCTTAGTCTCGTCGTCTTTGTTGTCCACCGCCAGTACCTCGTCCACCTGAACAACAAGAAGGAAAAGATTTGGAGCAGCATGTCGCCCGAGGAGCAGCTGGAGTATCAGACGGATAAAGAAGCCCGCCAAGCTGACGGTAACAAGCGTCTCGACTTCCGGTTTGCCTATTAATAAGGAGGAAGCAGAACTGCCATCAATTACGGGCGATTCCTTTCATGGCTAGTTCTTGTCATTGAAATTTGGAGTGAGCTCTAATCAGCCCAAAGGAAGAGCCAGAGGGAACGCGTGAGATTATGAGCGTTACATATTGTGCTATTTCTCGAACAATCTTGGGCACTGAGTAGTAATAGAAGCTTTAGAAATTGTTTATAAGAGATATTTATTCTCGCATTCTTCAGCCATGACATCAAACATTGGCTTGGCGCTGAACCACCCGGCCAAAGGACTCCCCACGGTCTTGAATGTCACCTCAGCATCCGCCTGATCAATTTGAATAGGCTTGGTCGCCGCGGCCTCAGCCATGAGCTGAACATGGCAGCACTTCTCCAGGGACACGAACCAGAAAATTGCAGCCTCTATTGTCCCGCCAACGGTAAGAAGACCGTGATTCTGAAGCAAGCAGGCTTTGCTTGATTCGAGGGTCTGGGCAATATTGTTCCCCTCTTCCTTTGCGAGAACAACGCCTTTGAATTGCCGGTAGACTTTAATATCGTTGTAAAATGCGCACGAGTCTTGTGTCAACATATCGATGGGCCGACCCAGGGTACAAAAGGCCCGTCCGTAGATGCTGTGTGAGTGTGCTGCACAGTGGACATCGGGCCTGGCAGTATGAACCGCATGATGGATCATATAAGCCGCCTTATTGAGAAGCCTGTTGGGCCCTCCTTCGATCACCTCGCCGTTTCCGTTGACGAGGATCAGATCCGATCGCTTCATCAGGCTAAACGCCCTGCCCATGGGATTCACCCAAAAGTGGTCTGGGCGGACGGGGTCACGTAATGTTATGTGGCCAGCGACACCTTCATCGAACCCGAATTTACCGAAGATCCGGAAGGCCAGGGCCAGGCGACCTTTGAGATATTCGCGCTCTTCGTATTTGTCGGTGAAGACGGGAGGAGCAAGCAGTTTTTGGGATTCGGCGCCAACACCATTTTGCTCGGCGCTCGGTGCGACAATGACAGAGTCCGTTGATGAGTCCATGTTCAATTTCAGCATTCAAGTTAGGCTCAAGGTCTCAAAGAAGTCTCACTCTCAAAGCGAAGTATGGTGAAGAAAGTAACAATAATTGCCGGCGATTTGACAGAGAGGAGATGTTCAAGGTTCCATCACGTGGTGGTAGTTGTCTCCCCCGCTTCCGAGGTCTGTTGATCTCTAGGCGGGGAAGCATCAACATCCAAGCCAAGAAGTGCGGGGAATCAATTTCCGCTTTATATATGCGTTTATTGGTCTGATTGAGGATGACCAGGGGAGAGTACGATGCGATGTTCCACAAATGACTTTGATGAGTTTCTCATTCCGAGGGTGCGTAGCTGACAAGATGGTAGAACCTGCAATGCAGGCCAGGTAGAGTATAAAGGTTTTTTCCCTCTAAATTATAACGCTCCGTTCGATTATCTAATGCGAGCGTAGGAAAGAGAGACAATACAAGTTCAATGGGATAAAACAGACTGTCGAGGTGATGGTTGTTAGATTTGACACCCGCGACAAGGGGATATAGGGTAGCTGATCTGTACTTATAAACCGCTCGTCCTTGAACACGCTTGTATTTGAAATTAGTCGCTTCTACAGGTGTTTCAGCACGCTGGAAACATTTGCCCTAGAATTAGGCTTGCGATGGCGACATTTGGGCCCAGAATTGCACCATCCGGCAATGCACGATGGTCCCTCATGGCCTGCATAAGTCTCCTCGAGAGTGGATAATGATCAGTGACACGACACGCGAGATTGATGCCGAGGCACATCCTGCAATTCGAATCGGGATCTGGATTGGTTTCCTTCCGCAACATCTTCCATCTCTCCACTCAGCCGTTTGTCCAGACATATCACCACGCTGGGCTGGATTGACAGGGGTAGATCTTCCCAACGCGCATTTCCAATCAATTTGTTCTCGTTTGTTGACGTATGGAGATATGATGAGCACTGGAAATGACCAGCAACCTTCCCTCCGCGGCCAAACGAAGGCAGAAGCTGGTGAAACGCGCCTGTGACCCGTGCAAGATTCGCAAAATCAAGTGCTCAGAGGTGTCGCCTTGCAGCGGCTGCATCTCCGCCGGGATCGAATGCACCTTCAATCGTACGCCCTCGACTCGGGGACCAAGGACGCTGCGAGCGAAAACGATCAATCGCATCGCCAGCAAAAGGCGTGATGGAGGCGTTGAGCCCACACCAGAGCGGCACCATGAGCATGATGAGGAGGCCAACGACGGCATGGAGGACTTGAGCATTCTCCTTGAGCTGCTGGGGATTTATGCGACAAGACTGTTTCCAATCTGGCCGATCGTAGACGTGGCGGATCTCTCCAATACGCTGCTCCTAGATCCATTGAATACCAAGGCGCGACACCTCGCGGAAGCCGTGGCTCTTGCCACCGTCGCGCAATTGAAGCTCAGTCCGAGCATGTGGAAGGGCAATGTAGAGCAGGTAGAGCACGACGCGCTGAGGGAGACCGACACGGGAGACCTGGTAGACAGCTTGCGGGTGTCGTTTTTCTTGCACATCTATCACGAGAATCAGACTGCAGGAGGAATCAAATCCCTGCTGTACCTGCGCGAGGCCATTACCAAGGCCCAGCTTCTACGAGTTGACCGTGAGGCGACATACTCCTCCCTGGATGGATCTGACCAGCAGCTGCTTCGACGGCTGATCTGGTTATTGTTCGTCACCGAGCGGTAAGTAGACTACATGAATAGCCATCTGACAAGATCTGGCATCTAGACCAATGCAACTGACTGATTTCCAGAGGCGTTGCGATGCTTCACAAGCTTCCTGTCGTTCTTCGCCCAAATACATTGTTTCCCTGGGCCACCGATCATTCCCGCGACGAGGTGCTCCCCTCGTTTCTGAAGCTTGTTCACCTCTTCTACGTCTTCGATCAGTCTGGCATCTTTGAGCTCTTGCGCAACTCAGACACCGACGTCTCCAGCATGGAGGCGCTTGCAAGAGGCTGCCTCGAGCTTCTCCAGCGGAAGCTTGTCGATAGCGATAGAAGCGGCGACGGAGATGGAGGCAGCAGCGACGTGCAAAAGGCTGACATCTTTGTCACGAGGCAATGGATGCGAGCTGTGCTGTGGAGGGCGGCGAAGAGATTTGGCGTCGTCGTGGATGGCATTGATCCGGTCGGTGTCGCTGGTGAGTTTCTTGCTCTTGTGAGCCGGCTGCCGACGACTGCGTTGGAGTCGCAAGGCCCGACACTTGTGAGTCTTCATTCTGACTGCCGCCCTTATTTGCACGAGAAGCTAATCAGGATTTCTAGGAGTTCAAGACGTATGAAATTGCCACCGCTGTCGTAGACGCGGTGACGGACAGACGTTCGTTGGTATCAACGAGCCGACCGAGCGATGTTCTTCACGGTCTGTACAGCATCCTTTCATCATCACGAGGTGGGAACAAGACCCTCTTGGCATTGCTGAATTCGAAACTGGCCATGGCCAGCCCGGACTTGAGACTCCTGCTCCGACCGTCACCTGCAGCATTGAGTGCACCATTTCTCCCCGAGCAGGTCCAGTGGGATACGTCAATCTCCACGAGTTTCCTGGACATGATCGGCCAGGAAGAAGTCGACCAACACCTGGCCGATCTCTCATGGCCCCCTCTCGATCTTGGTAATCTTCTCCGCACTCCCTCGCCGCCCTCGCCGATGACTCAAATGCTGCTCGAGCCCCATCACCAGGACCAATACCACCATCAGCATCAGCAGAGCTCCATCCCTGGGTAGGACTGACCCAATCACTGGCATCCGCTAGTGCTGTAGTGCTTCGTAAACCCGCCTGTCATGCAACACCCCGCACCTAAAACGTGGATGTGTGTCGCGGCGAGAATCAGCGGATTCTAAAATCCGCTCTGCCCCATCAATCGTGCCTCCGAGAAATTCGCCGGCGGTCCCCGACGGTTGTTTTGCGGCCGACCTCGCTGAGCTAAAGTTCTCTTTAACAAGACCTCCTCTCATCAGTGATTTCTCGCTCTGCCTTCATTCAGCTCATCCCCCCCGACGGCAGCCAAAACAACAACTCACGATGGCGTGGGCAGAACCTCGAAACACTGGCATGATCTACCGCCGCCTCGGGCGGTCCGGCCTCCATGTCTCAGCCATTAGCCTGGGCAGCTGGCTGACCTACGGCGGATACGCAGACGAGGAGAAGACGCTGGCCTGCGTCAAGAAAGCGTACGACCTGGGCATCAACTTCTTCGACACGGCCGAGAACTACACTGCTGGCAAGGCGGAGATTGCGCTGGGAAATGCCATCAAGAAATTCGGCTGGAAGCGGAGCGACTTGGTCATTAGCACAAGTAAGTCTCGCCATTTTGTTAGTGCGCTGGCTTGATAGCTGATCGGTTGCCCAATGAAGAGATCAATTGGGGTGCGCAGAATGGCGAGATCTTGGTCAACAACCACGGCCTGTCGCGAAAGCACATCATTGAGGGTTTGGAGGCCTCGCTTGAGCGCCTGGGTCTGAAATATGTCGATATCGTCTACGCCCACCGTCCCGACCGGCTTACGCCGATTGAGGAGACTGTGAGGGCATTCAATTATGTGATTGACAAGGGCATGGCTCTTTACTGGGGCACATCTGAATGGAGTGCCGAGGAGATTGCTGAGGCAGTAAGTCCTTGATATCATTTCAATGACGCTTTTCTATATGTACTGATCTGAATTTCTAGATCGGTGTCGCTCGAGATCTGCGGATGATCCCGCCCATTGTCGAGCAGCCCTTCTACAACATGCTGGTGCGGAACAAGGTTGAGGGCGAGTTCCAGCGCCTCTACGCACGCCACGGCCTCGGCCTGACGACCTTCAGCCCCATCAAGATGGGCATCCTCTCGGGCAAGTATAACGACGCCGTCGACGGCAAGCTGCCCCCCGACTCGCGCTTCGGCTCCAGCCAGGACAAGTTCGCCAAGTTCATGCGCGAGAAGATCGGATCCTCAGGCGACGAGGAGTGGAAGAAGGAGATTGAGACAGTCCGGAGGCTCAAGCCCGTGGCGGACAGGCTGGGCATCTCGCAGAGCCAGCTGGCCGTAGCGTGGTGCCTGAAGAATGAGAACGTGAGCAGCGTCATCACGGGCGCGAGCAAGCCGGAGCAGATTGAGGAGACGGTCGGCGCGTTGAAGATTCTGGACAAGCTGACGCCGGAGGTCATGGCTGAGATTGATGAGATTACGGGGGCCAAGGTGACTCTTGACCCGGCAAGGCAGGACTAATTAGATGTAATTGCGAGGAAAAATAATGAGAAGCACCAATTCCAGCTATGAATCCCTTCCAACCCTTTTTTCTAATCTCGCGAAAAGAGATGACCTTGCAGGTACCAAGCCAGATACCCGACAAAGACTACACCCACCACCCAGTACAAAACATTACGCACAACGAGAGAAAGACTATTCCTGAAGTTGGCGCGTGAGTGTGCGGTATGCGCCGCCCGGTCATTCAATCTCGGAAACGGCACATCTGGAATTTCCTTCCCAAGAAACGCACATAGAGGTGCCCATCCCGCCTCAAGCTTGTGTTCCAGCCTCCTCTCCTCCGGAATGAGCCGCCGAACATCATCATAGTACCGATCGTAGGCCCCTCGAGCATTCGACTTGATCTCCTCAATAGACTTTGCGTGAAAGAAACCTAGGAAACATTTCCTCAGGGCATTGCCGGAGCGTAACCCGAAGATGGAGAAAATGGTCACCAGAGCTTGGGCTCCCCGGAAGAAACACCACCCAAGCACCTCTGATTCGAAGCTGGACCACCACGAGTCGAAATCCCTCTGGACGACGACGAAGATGGCATCCAGGTAAGCGTGCGCTAGATCCATCGTGAAGGGCGAGGCGACGTCGGTGACAACGTCGTAGGATCCCCATATGACATCCCAGTCGGGTCTTGTGTAGGGTCTTCTGGGTCGGGCCCCGGGGACGTCTGGCCATTTGCCCTCGGCTGCTTCCTCGATGAGGTGCCACGGCACGGTGGAGGGGTCGTCGATGGCGTGGTGGGTGCGATATCCGAGGATTGTGGACGCTTCGGCCATGGATTTGGTGCCCATGCGGAACAGAGAAGCATTGATTATCTTGATCCCGCCGGCGGGCTTCGACGTGTGGTCGCCGGTACTGGGCATCGTGTGCGGCACTAAGCGTAATGTGTCTCTGGGAGAGGATACGTGTTGTGATGATTGCAGGAACGGGGTTGAAAGCTTATGAGCAGGAAAGAAACTACGGGTAGATGCTGTGGAACTTTGATGCGATCAAACTCTCCCGAATGAGACGTCTCACGGCAATATCGTCATAGGAATGCGGTACGCTCATTGATAAAACACGTGTCTGCACTGTTCTCGGAGGTAGCTGCGGATGGGAGAATATTTAAGATATGCTGGAATTGCACCTACACTTTCACAATTTCGTTCTTTGATCAGCCAGTGGCAGATAAAACCGAGGAGAATTACAATCAAGCTTCTGTGATTTGAATAGTCTGTGTTACTTGATGAGATGGGATTGGATTCCGTATGAGGGGCGTTCATTTATGATCAACGATCAATGCCATCGATCAATAAGGGTTGATACAGCTCAAAATACAAATGCCATACAAAAGGCAGTAGGATACACTCTAGGTCACAGCCTGCTTGGCCGAACATTATTATTCTCTTGGAACGCGGTTCTTGCGTTCAGAGTGCCCTGCTCCAGGGCTCCATCAATTGCAGCCCTCCATCCATGAGCCCAGTCTGCAGAGGCGAAAAGAATGTTTCCATGGCGGCTCTGCAATTCGTCTTGGTACTTCGACATATAACCAGGTCGCCACCACGCCGGACCACCTTGTGAGTAGGGGTCTGTACTCCAGTTGTGCAATAACTACATGTCCCGGTTAGTAAACATGGCTTCGGCTGGTGAAAAGCTCTCTGTAGACTTACAAGACGTTTCACATGCATTGGATGAAGGTCATTAAGTGCGTCGATCGTTTTGTTTGCATCATTTTCGGGAATGAAGGTCTCGCGATCATCTTTGCCAAACGCCACGATGTGAACATCTCCATTTGGTAGGACACCGTCCGCGTACCCATACATGAGATGGCCGGGGAAACGCATCCCATTCCATCTTTCTAGTTCCTTGTTGCTGACATCTGCATGGACCTTGGTCATGTGATTGATATGGCCAATATTGATGGCTTCCTGGCGCCGCTGAGAAAGGGGCGGTGAAAATTGAACCTTTTTTAGGACGTTGAGAGGGATGGTGCTGATGACCTTTCGACCCTGGAATGTCTGATTATTATCCGTACGTATAACGACTGGGCCGTCCCCGGACGCGCTCTGGTTAATGGAAGCGACGGGCGTAGAAAAGGCAAAATTTAATCCGTCGTTCTTGGCTTCCTGGAACATGCGTTTTGCCAGTTCGGTTTGGCCATCTCGCAGCTTATATCGGAGCCACACGTCGGTAAAGTTGTCCGAGCTGTGCATGAGAAGAGCATGAGAGCGGACCATGTCCCAGAGGCTGGAATCTTCCAAGTTACCACCAGAAATGTGTAGAAGGAGAGATATCAGAAGGCCTTGTTCTTCAGATGTGAGCTTGTGCTTGATCTCCTCAGGGGAGGCAGGTGTGTCGAGTGTGATGTGGTGCTCCTTCCCTGTTGCAAGTTGATGCCTGAGGGGAACCCATCAAGTCGGACGATTGGATTTCGAATTTTCAATCAACTTCCATAGGTACTAGGATACTCGTTAGATTTATACCCATATCTACTATCACAATGTCTGACACGTTCAATAACTGGTTCCTGGATATTGTACCGGATTCCGGAGAATGGATGGAGGGAATACCACCCCCACCACCACTACTACCAGCAGAAGAGACCTTTGTCGAACTGCAGCCCGAGGAGCCCAAGGAGCAGCCAACTCCAGGTATAAGGAATCAATAATACTTTCTTAGTTGTATACTAATCATAGTCTTATAGAGATGTTAATTGAGAAGGCCAATGCCCGCCTAGAGCGGCTAACTATGGAAGGACGAAAGTCCTATTTTGGGAAATTTGTCTCCCATTTAAAATACTCGGAAATCGACTGGTCTGTGACGATTGACCAAGTCAGGAATGGACAGTGTCTTGTAAAAGACATTGAATGTACTGTGACAAATGCAGATCTTCGTGGACATTTCTACACTCGGAGACACCTGGTAAGACCACCTTGGCTAATCTTATTGTTACCTATATATATATTGACCTTGGGAATATATGTAGAATTGGGAGAAGAAGAAGAAGCTTGAGGCCGAGGCGCAAAGCGCCATTGATCGAAGAATGGCTGGAGGCAAGACTCCCCCGCCCAGCCCCCAACATAATATCAAACGCAAGTTTGATTCAGCCTTCCCTACTGAGAAAGAGTAGACGGAAGAAAATTAAAAGGAGATGGAAAAACTTCTTGAACAAAGCCACATCGACGACAGGTTCGCACTTCTACGCAGTGTCGATGATCAATTCCTATGTATATCCATGGGAAGCTAAGACGAACCTAGAGATTTATTCGTAAGTAACATCCCCGGTTGTGCATCCAAAAATAGCCCCTGCTCGAGCACGCAACTTGTATAGGTAGTGAACAGCTGCTCCTACAGTGGCACTGGTCACAGTATTAACATTAGCTCCGTCACGCCGTTGTCGAGAGCAGCCATTTTACGGGTCAATGCCAGCAAAGTAGTCCTTAGGCAAGCGAAACTTCTAGTTTAGCTATACAGCGATCTCTAGTATCAACAGCAGACAGGGAGGCCAGGCCTACAGCGATCTCCTGTCGTAGTAGCAGACAGAGAGGCCAGGCTCGCACAAGGCTGCTCGAGACTGCGGCTGTCGATTGCATTCGCCTGGATCGCGGTTGGCAAGATCAAGGAAGGGTCTGACTGGCCGGCACAATGTCGCCCGAGGCTGCAGCTGTTGATCGCATTCACATGGATCGTAGCGGATAGGATCAGACTTGTTACCTGCTTGAGACCGCTCGGGGCTACAGCTGTTGATCGTATTCATCAGTATCGCGGCGGATAGGATCAGACTGGCGAGCTCAAGGCTGCTCGAGGCTGCAGATGTTGATTGTACTTACCTGGATCGCGGTCAGCAAGATCAAGGAAGAGGTAATAACATACGCCCGTACATAGCCAGCGATGGTAACCACGAAGTCGTATTGATGTGTATAACAGCACAGTACCTTCATCAGGCAGGAAATTGTGTAGCGATGGAAGTATCTTACTTGTTACGATGTTACTTACACTGACAGCCAATCGGTATTCTAAAATTGACCCATCGCAGTTCAGCATTTTGAATTATATGACTACTAAACATTATATTTTACAAGCGAATCTAGAAGCTGCGCTCCGGCTATGAGCTTCACGAGTTATTAAGCTTCGCTTGATTAGCCATATAACATCTTTGACGGGCTGCAATAGGTAAGTTTTTAATACAGTAAGCACGACCGTTTTGCGTAAACGCGAATCGAGTCAGTGGATGCCTACCTCAGCGACGTGGGGGTTGTTCTTTTCATATATAGGTGGACGTAGGTATCGGGGGGTTCGATTGATAACATACCTTCTGAAATATATCAGAACTATAAAAGTCCATAGAGATGATAGTATTCAGCTTGAAATGTCTGACAGACAAGTTCATACATCGTCCCAATAGCCGACATACAGGTCAGGTCTCCTCAACTTAGGTGTCGCTACAGATGACGGCTAGGTCGGTTATTACACACTATCATTCATCTCAACACATCCCAACCAAGTCGGTCCCTCTTGACTTGATTACTGCAGCCATACTGACTAATAGGCTCGGCCTACTAACTCAACACACGACGTCTAGGCCAGATTTCTATGAAGTGATTGCCGAAGCTGTGGTCAACTTAGCCCAGCTCATACGACCGCTCATCATCACATGATAGCACGCTCAGGCCAACTTCTCACGATTTAATGGTGTGGTTTGACAAGGGCTGTACAGCAAAGCAAAGCAAAAAGCAGCAAATTGAACGTGATGATGATTAGGATAAAAGCTATCTGTTGGAAGGTTCCAACCGAAGGTTGGATAAGTATGTGCGACTAATCGATAAGGTCGGATATGTCAGATAATTGGTTGTATTGAGCGCGTTGTGGGTGGCTGACGCCTGCATTCTCGGCTGGCCTAGGCCCCTGAGATATGCAAATGGCGGGAAGTCACTTTCCTAGGTTTTACTAGGGTCTATAGAGATAGGGGTACATGCCGGGTTTCTGACCCACGCTTCCTAATTGACTAGCCGGAATTCCTCCGTCTTCTGACAGGATATCGATATCGATATCCGATAAGGATATCCACAAATGGACTCACTCTTTTCCAAGTAAGGCATCAGTAGTCTAAGGTGGTTGGGTGGGTGACGCGAGAAATGGTACACCATAGCACCATTTTAGGTCGGATGCTTGAGGATCCAATACTTTACTAAATTACTCACCGGCCTCAGTAACAGGTCCTCATTTATGAGACCGAATATGTATGCATTCATGGTGTCTCATTTCTTATGTCATCCACTTTGGGGCCTCTCTTTGGATCAGCCTCGGAGTGGATGGGTTAGTGGGTAGCTGAAGGGTTCTTTGTGATCATGGGTGCTACAAGTATAAGCCGCCTTGCTGTGTTGGGCAAGATTTTTCTCTTAACCTGATACCCATCTCGCTCAAAGGTCGCGTTGGAAAAGAAATGGAAGCGTAGAGATACATTAAAATTGCTGGAGCTAGACCAAGCCACCCAGCATTATTAAGATGATTTACTACAGTGTGCTCGCCAGTCAGGAGTAATATGAGCGAGCAAGATTGGTTAATCACTAAGAATAGAAACCAGAAATGGTGGTGTAGCCATATTTTCGGCTAATCAAGCAGTGATTCACTGTCAAATGATGGATGGATGTTTACAGTTGCGTACAGTCGACCTTCAATTCCCCGCCCCTTCACATTACGGCCATACACCTGCGCTGTTGAATTGTTCAGCTAAAGGCATACTGATTGTACTTGTTTGAGTTTCTCCTCGCTTCCAGTGAAAATCACGCTACCTAGGCAGAGGCACTTACGCGCCCTTACTCCGCGCGCCGCGCTCCGCGCTCCTCCTTCTCCCTCCTTCTTCCTTCTCCCCTCTCAACCACCCAACTTTGCTTCTCTCCTCAACACATCAAAAATCCTGCTTCTTTCGCCTGCTCCCACACATCTACCCTTAAGAGTTTCCATATTCTCGGGTATAATTTCTCACGTTCATATATTCCCACTTCTCATTACAATATCAAGCTGAGTCCCTGGTCCTGTTCCTGTGGTCAATTTCCAGCAACCAGCTACTTCCTATCCCATACAGTATGGCCAAAGCTTCCCCTCATTTCACATAACCTGAGTTTCCTAATAGACTACTAACTGGTTAGTAGCTACAAATGGCAGACGACCAATCGAACAAGGCACCCCCTGGGACTCGACCGCGGGCTCAGTCGCAACTGGCTCGCCCGGAAAGCCAACAAGAGACTGGCCAGAGTTCGTCATCCAGGCCTACTTCTTTTGGTCCTGCCATACAACGCCCAGCCTCACTGTCCGTTGGTTCTGGAAGCGCTACACCCAGACCGCCATTCGCTACATCAGGCGAGCAAGGGCATGCTCGTCGAC